TTTTTTGCAAAAGCCCAAGAAGAGACAAAAGAACGTCCTCTGCCTGCTGGACGGAGTCTCTTGGCTGAGCAGTCCTAGAGCGTCTAAGGCCACCGTACGCGTTGGAGACGCCTGCATTTCGGCTAGCAAAATATTGAACAAAATTAACACTTATATTTATATCTTTTACTAATCATGGATCAGTAGACAGTGTTGGCTAACATTGGACAGAATGATAATTACAATCGAAAGAATTCGATTTATTTATACGTTAATTATACATGGCCAATTCCAATACAGCAAATAAAAACAAAGTTGATGATACACTTACACTTTCATGAGAAAATAATTTTGTATATCAATTTTTTTCAGATCAATTGCGTATGTTTAAATATTAGCATCATGGGGGAATTTTGTTTAGCTCAAAAAAACAATATTTCAAACTTGTTTTTAAATATTCTTAAATTCACTTTTTTTGAGATATCGGTGAAACTTTTATTAGCGGACTTTTAAGCTCCGCTCTACCTATTCCAATTTCATTTAGCTTGGATGCTGTTTTTGGCATTTACTTATCATCCAACTTAGACAACTAGGCTCAAGAGGCCAAAATTTGTGTTTAGATGACTATATTCGTAATGCATATAAAACAATGACCATTTCCGATTTTAATTAAAATTTTTGAAAAAAAAAAAAAACAGAAAACCCCCCGTAAATGCTGTTTCGTCTAGCGCTGTTTCGGTTTAGCGCTTTTTATTTCAATCCAGATTTTGAAGGGTAAAGGTGGAGTAGTGTGGGTGGAAGATGTTGATGAAATAATTCAAGAAGCAGCGCAGTCTTTCTGATAATGAGCTCAAGAAATTAGCTGAATAAGAAAAAAACAAAAATGTTGACAGCCATGATTCACAGGAAGACCAAAAAAACCTTTCGATGGTGTTTGTAAAAAGGAGTTTTTCTGCCATAACTGAAATAATGGATCAATTCAATGAAAATGATCGAAATTTGGCATAAGAAGTAAATGTTTGGTTTTATTTCTATTAAAAAAGCATACTTTTTAAGTTTAATCCTAACCAATTTCCCTAACCCCAATATTTCTTGTAACGATAGATAACATTTTCTACTGCTTAATTTTGAAACAGTTTTAGCTTACCATCAAAAACTATTCCTACTTTCTTTTAATTACACGTATAATATTTCATTGCATTTAATCCATTTTTAGTTTAAAATGAATGTAATATATGCTAACGTTAACAAATAAGTGACATGTTATACTGACATTTTTCAATTCTGTACGACAAATTCATCTTCTTATCCAAAATTACCAAGAAATACTGCTCTATGATTGACAAATCTACTCATTATGAGCTCGATTCGGAAGACTCATATATAATTTTAGGAATATTCTGAGCGTCACAGTCTGCTGGTTAATATATACCAACGTTAAATCATAAAACATGTAAGAATCTATTTATGTCAATTCATTTGCTTTGATTATTATCAAAAGGTTAACAAACCCTAAAGCCCAATTCTGTTAACGGCATTGATGCTTTATATTTTAAAAACAATGTCAACTCTTTTGTATATATTAGTGAAACATAAAATAACTAAGCGTAAATACACATGATTTATCAGTTGTCAATAATACCGTCAAGTTGTCCAGCAACTTTTTCAGAGATAAAACTTTCAAGTAACGGTTCATTTTAACGGATGATATTTTGATAGCTGTTTAGTTTTGCGTATACTACACATGTGAGTTTCAATTTTGATTATATAATTTTAAAGTGACTTTAGTATAAAGATTTATCTCAAATTTCAAATGCTTCACAGTAGTAACATCACATGATAAGTAAAAGTAATGAATTAAATGTATAGATTTATTTATTACAAGACACACTGTGAAGAACAAAGAGTTATTTTAAAATTTATTTAAAATTTAAATTTAAATTCAATGAGTTCTATGTTACTAGATCAAAGATATAATCGAATTATGAATCTAACTAGTGGTATATGGCATCGTGCTTTAAGGCAAATTGCTTGAATTTCCCGTACCTTAATGAAATATTCGAGAAATATTAAATGTTTTCAAATAGATTATCATAAATAATTTAACGTTCATTATTCTTATTTTCTGAGAAGTAAATAAACAAAACTTAATCAATCGAATTTAAAATAAAGAGCATGGTCTCATATATTTCAATAGTATTATATTATTGAATTGCAAAGTTAAAATAATTTATTTGAAATATATAAATGATGCTTAGAACTTTAGCTAGAATTAGAAGTGAAATACGAATTATTTTTCGATATTAAAAAAATATCGATATTTTTCGATATTTTTAGAAGTTAAAATCGTTTCGACGATTACCCGTTACAAGTAGAAAGTTTTTTAAATAATTCAAATCGCATGCTTAGTTCTCTCAAAAACTGCCAGTTTTTACACATTTAGCTCTATATCACCACTCTCCTCATCCCCATCATTACGAATCGAATGTTTTTTGGATCAATCAAATCGTTCTCTTAAATTTAAAGCACTTTTTGCTCCATATCTCCGCTGGACCTGTTGTCGCCAAAAACTAATAATCACGTCTCCTCATCAATAGGAATCAAATGTTTTTTGAATCATTCAAATCGGTTAATTTGTACGCACGAAATCGTCGACGAGAAATTGTCTCCACATACACACAAATACATACACACATCCACTTATTTTTCAAAATGTTCAGAAATCTCTGAAACGTGAAGATCAGAAAATGTTAATTTTTGATTTTTGGCCCATTACTATAACTTAACCTATGGAAATCAATTAATAAAAATAAAATGTAAAATAAACTATTAATAATAAAATTAATAAATATACTAAAAAACTTAATAATTTATATTGCTCTAAAATAGATTATTATTGCAATAAGAAGTTAATGTTGCAATAATTATTTGAATGAAAATGGCTTCTCAAATATCAGAATATTGAAATATGTAGAAATTTGCCAACGTAGCATCATTTGTCCTCTAGAGCATGATATTTTATTTTGTGTATATAATATTTTCTATTTACAAGTAAAAAATAATGTGCATCGTTGTTGGGATATCACATTGTCTGCAAAATTCACTCACCGACTATTAATTCTTGTACCCTGGCAGGCATCAAGGGTGCTCTCAGACCCACCAAAAATGTCTTTAGAGCTGAGGCCACTTCCAATGGGCCTCCATGTGTTCTTAACGATTGCAAAATGTCTTGGTCGCCTCGTTCTATTCGAGATAAGATATCTCGAGCTCTTGTTCTAGAACCCAGTTGGTAGAACAGGCCGAACTGCTCAGTATCTAAAAAGAAATTGTCATATAAATATATTTTTATACACCCACATATGAGTACAAATTCAGAAACATATAAGTTCACGTAGACATTTTTAAATAATTCATAATATGATTATCTTGGTAAATATAACATTTCTTTCACATTGTTGAAAAACTCTGACAACATAGCAATTAATACTTCCATTATAAAAATTTTGGACTAACCCTAAGACATAATTTTTATTCTTTCGACAGAGTTTTTCTTAATGAAATTTTGTTCCTAATTAAATTTTAATATTTTTTCTTCATTTTAATTAATGTTTAATTAACCATTTTTTATAAGTTTGTTTAATATTTCTAAATTATTTTTAGATAATTAAACAATGTTTGGAAGTGACACTGAAATAACAATAGAGTAGGTTTGCTTTGAGAAAATAGTATAAAAACTAATGCTGTAAAAATTATTATAATTTGCATGTTACTTCCTGAATTAATCTTAAACGGACATTGTCAAAACAAATCAATTTTTTTAAACTATTAAGTTTCGTTGAAGAAAAATTATATTAATTGATTTTCGTTGTCTTGGCGATTGCACAAAAAATATTTCGGCAATTGCAATTAATTGTCATGTTTGGAAAAATTCTATACAAAATAACTGTGTAATGAATCAGAACAGAATTTCCATTAAATTTTGTTTTCTTATTGCGAATTCATTTAATATTTATTGTTTATTCTCCTGTTTTATGTTTGCCATGGACATTGGGCTTTAGGTTGAAATTTGTTTTTGAGAACAAAAACAATGATAAATTTCTGGATAAAATCATGATTATAAATTGATAAATACTAAACAAGAAAAAACTATAGAATTGCAGTAGGACCTTAGTCTGACCCACGTTTTTGCAATGCATTTATTATACGAAATGAATTTTTAAATTATAAAAATATATTCTACCAAATCATTACTAAAAATCAATAATATTTTTCAATTTAATTTGAAAAAGATAAAAAAGGAGTATATGTATAATTATCAAATGGTTCAGAATGATCCAAAACATAGAATGTTCGTTGGTGAAAAATTCACTATTTTATTTTCACGTTTCACATTTTCACATTTTCTGATGAAATGAAATATATTATTACACATTTCCACGTGAACTTTGAACACAAATACTAAAATATTTCTTTAATCATAATCATAATTATAATTATAATTAATCATAATCATATTTATACTATCAAACTTACTGTCTTTCAGATATTCAATACATTCCAAAACACTAATTAAGCACTTTTTGGATATTATTTCTTTTTGGGGATTTCCTTTGATTTGTCTGAAACACAAAAAATATAAATATGATAATAAATTGTAAATAATAAATCAAAAATAAAATCTATTATTTGAAGTTAAATCTTGTTATAAGTAACAATTATATAAATAGAACATAAATAGTAAATGAGTAATTATTTAGACAAAATATATGTTGTAATCATTTTCCTTTATTGCACAAGATTCGACGCATATTTATAAAAACATACGGAAACATATTACAAAAACAGAAAGAAATAAACAAATGCACCTTATAAGTATAAATAATTCAGCGAGTTTATATATAAGCGTAATTAACAAATAGAAAAAATTCAAAGTAGTGGTTTAAATTCAAAGAGAATACAGGACGAAATTATTTGGGTACGTATTGACTTCGTTTCTATACTCAAATTTTACTTCAATTCATTCAAAGTTTTTATTTGTCATTTTTTATAATTTTTATGTTGAAATAAGTGTAAATTCAATAAATAATTTTTATGTTGAAATATGTGTGAATTTAATAAATAATTTTTATGTTGAAATA